TGATGCCTCCTATTTTCATGTTATAAATGACATCACAGAATATTAACACAACCAAGCATGAAGGAACTCATGAGGAGCTACGAATAGCATTTAGAGATTTTTGTCATTTGTTATCTATTTTGTTAGAAACTTTAATACTTTATAGTTACTATTTCAAATGTGTTTTTGAAAATTATAAATGGCTGAAACTTATTTTGAAAATAATGTCTTCTTTTGAGACAATTTTGCTGTATTTGGTCTTGAAGTTGTAGTGATTCTCCTATCTCTGCTTCATGACTTCTGGGATTACAAGTGTGTGCCACCACGTCCAAAGCCCCTGACATGCATCTTGGTATCTGGTAAACATAACACAATCATTAACAGTTAAGTAGTGCAAATGTTTCCTTGTGTTATTTGCCTGTGGTTCATGCTCATGTGTTTATTTTGAATATGTGCATCATATATCACTGTAGAAGTGGAGAAAGGGGATGAAATATGTTTCAGTTAGAGTTTCTATTGCTGTGATAAAACACTGTGACTAAAAGCAAGTTGGCGAGGAAAGACTTTAATTTCAGCTTACATGTCTGATCACAGATCGCAGTCCATTATGAAGGAAGCCAGGGCAGGGGCTGATGTAAAAACCATGGAGGGGTGCTGCTTACTTGCTTGCTCCCTGTGGCTTGCTCACTGAGCCTGCTTCCTCATACAATCCAGGACCACCTGTGGGTGTGGTACTGTCTACAATGAACTGGGTCCTCCCACATCAATCATGAATCAAGACAGTGTCCACCACACTTGCCTACAGGCCAGTCTGATGGAGGCATTTTCTCAGCTAAGATTCTTTCTTTTCAGATATGTCTAGGTTTGTGTCAAGTTGGAAAAAAAAGTTACAAGAGATACCAGATCCTTCCCAGCAGAAATGGAATTCAGAGTGAATTTTCTACAAAAAATAAATTAGTGAATTACTAATGTGAATAATTATTCTTTGGGAGACTGGAAAATTAGGTTATAATTATAAAGGAAGTAATCTCAAAACCAGGCCTTCTTGAATTAGTAAGCTGTATTTGGTGGTAAATGTAATTGTTTCTTCTGGACTCTTGAAAGGGGACAGTTTGTCAACTCCAAAGCAGAATTCACTATCCTTATTCATCAGTGACTATGGCTTCTGCTCACAGGTGACCGAAGAGCTTCCGTGCTTTTCCAGGGGAAGGTGGCAGTCTTGGCACCTAGAGCCTAAGAATTATAAATGGTGGTTGTGTACCATGGGGCTTTCCTGTCTGTTTTAAAATTGTTCCAAGTTATTGCCTATTGTGACTGGTATGATGTCTGTCTTTTGACTCTCACCTGCTTTTCTGCTTTACAAGTTCTACGGATCAGACAGGAAGCTGAGAATCGCTGGTTAAAGATACATTAAGTAGGTAGTTGTCAAATTTGATGTTTATGGGAGAAAGCTGGAGGCTTGCTGAAGTACCATGCCTGGGTCTTGCCCCCAGAGATGAAGGCTCATGAAAATGGGTATCCATGTAACACATTCCCAGGTGGTGATAAACAGCTCTTCAGAGGGACAGCTCTTTAAGAACTGCTATGATACGCAAAATCTGGAAGTCAGCCTATGCTGAACCATTGAAGTTCTTCATGAAATAAATAAGCTGTCTATAACCTTATTCAAACAATACTTAAGCCACTTTAAAAGTGGATTTTCAAAAATTAGAAATCTGTTATGTACATAGAAAATTAGAATTGTCTCCACTTTCTCTTTATGGTAGCAGTATTCAGTATTAATACTAACTGAATACTCAGGAACTGGGTTGCTCTGCTTTAACCCATGCCAGTAATTAGGTTCCTGTGAATTAGGTAAGATTTGTTAGTGGGGGGGGGAAGAGTCTCTAAACTATTTCCTCTGATATTTTTTCCTCCAAGTGCAAATACTATTTATTCCCCACTACAGTTTATTGATTCAAGAGACCCTAGTTTTAAGTGACTGTTGATACCTTTCATTATCTAATTAATTTTCTGTTTTCCAGAAATGACTAATAGTGTTAATATTAAACTAAATTCTTTATATTTTAGCAGAGTTCTGTAGACTGTTTAGTTGCGTTCACATTCAAGATAAAAACTCTTAAGAAAAGTTTCTAAATAAGCACCTTCCTTTTTCTCACAGTATGCACAGTGATCCTTGCCTAACTTCTCCATGTTAGTCACAGAATCCCTCTGGTGTACAGTAGCTTTGTCATGGCACTAATCACTGTTTACCTTGTGCACAGTGTGCCTTTGGGCAGCTCATGTCTTGGTCACGTGATACTTGCTTGTACCTACATGTCAATGCGAATGAATGCTCCCTTCCTTTTTCCTATGTGCACTTCACTTACAAATCCTACAAGATTCCCATGATCTAGATCCCTGACATGGCAACCCGGTTCCTGGGTGCCTATTAGTGGTGCTACCCTCAAGAGAAAGTGGGAAGAATCTTATTTTCCTATATGTACAAAACATGTTCTTTTGTTAAATTTGGAAAATCTGCCTTTAATATTGCTTAATTGATTAAATTTATTCACTGGAAAATATCACTGTATCTCTTTTCTAATTTTGTCCAGAAAGAAAAATAGCAAGGAATGTTGTTTTCTTAAAATCTAGAGACCTCTTGTGGTCATTCATAATAGTACTTTAAAAACAGAATTATTAGACTTTGTTAGATTTCCAGTGATAGGGATACTATCTAACAAATTAAAACTTTATCAAGTCATCAAACAACGGAAAGTATAGAAACCATAACTTTTGGTAAAGAACTTTTCCAAGCAAACTCTGGTTATTTGTGCACCAGGATATCTGGTAAACTTTTGTTATAATTTATAGGTAAGGTGACTAAATCTCTGAGAAATTGTGTGATGTACTTCTTTACAATATCAAACACATCTGGATCTCATTCACTAAGGGTTACTTAGGTGGCTAGGAATTTTAGACATAATTCACCAGAGATCACCAGGTTACAGAACTATTATTCTTAATTCACTTATAAATATTTTTCTGTTTTATTATTTGAGAATTTCATAATGCATGTACTATTTTTTGTTTGTTTGATATTTTTGGTTTTGTTGTTGTTGTTCTGGTTTTTGAGGCAGAGTTTCACCATATAACCCTGGTTGGCTTAGAAATCCCTCTGTAAACCAGGCTGGCCACCTACCTCTGCCTTCCTGTGAGCCACCACCATTTTGTTGTTGTTGTTGTTTTAGATTTAACATTTTCTTTGACTTATTGACATAATTCTTCTACTTTGTGTGCAAGCCATGGTATTTTCTCTACCATTTGATCTCTTCTATTGATAGGCATAGTCCTTTTCCTCATCATATTAATCAGCTATATTGTGTGCTGGGCATTAGATCTTACATGGCAAATCTTTGTAGTTCCAGTATCCAGAAAAATGCCTAGAAAACACAGTGCTCAAGTAATATTTGGTAGTGAATTATAAAGGAACTTATTTCATAGTAATATTTGTGTAAATCTTCTGGAAGAGAGATTTTATTTGTTAGTTATGATTACAGATTTTAAGAGCTATGCAGTTATAAGTAGAGTTAGAATATAGAGTCTGAAGTCCTGATCATGGTTATAAAAAGACTATTTCATATATTTATTGTATTCATTTTTATTTTACAATTCCAATCACAGTTCTTCCTTCCAGCCCTCCTCCTACCCTTCTTGCCTTTCCTCCCCCAGCTTCCCCCCATCCACTCCTCCCAACAGGTAAGGGCTCCCATGAGGAGTCAAGAAAGTCTGGCACATTAAGTAGGGGCAGGACCAAGCCCCTCCCTCTGCATTAAGGCTGAGCGTGGCATCCCACAATAGGGAATGGGCTCCAACAAACTAGCTCATGCACCAGGGATAGATCCCGGTCCTACTGTCAGGGGCCCCTCAGACAGCCCAAGCTTCACAACTGTCTCCCACATACGGAGGGCCTAGTTTGGTCCCATGGAGGCTCCACAGCTGTCGTTATAGAGTTAATGAGTTTCCACGAGCTTGGTTCAGTTGTCTCTGTGGATTTCTCATCATGATCTTGACCTCCCTTGCTCATGTATTCCTTCCTTCCTTCCCTTCTCCTGAATTCTCAGAGCTCGGCCTGGTGCTTTGCTGTGGATCTCTGAATCTGGTTCCATCCAAGGCTTTATGATGATAGTGGTGGTATATTCTCACATCTCTTTACAGGGGTAGGCCAGTTCAGGCACCCTCTCCACTGTTGCTAGGAGTCTTAGCTGGTGTCATCCCTGTGGATTCTTGGGAGTTTCCCTTGCACCAGGTTGCTTCCTAACCCCATAGTGGCTCTCCCCGTCAAGGTATCTCTTTCCTTGCTCTTCCTCTCCTTTCCCGACCCCCTAAACCATCCCATTCCCTCGTGTTCTCATCCCTCATCCCCTCTTTACGGACCCCTTCACCCCCAGTTTATACAGGAGATCTCATCTAATTACTAAAAGGGACTATTTTAAGGCGACTGGGCTTGTGAGCAGTATTGTTTCCGATTGTACTATGTTATATATGTACTCAGCTTTTACTAAAACCTTATAATTGAAATAAAATGATCTCTATTTCAAAAATAGAAAAAGCAGGACTCAATCTCCAGATATTTCTGCTTTAAATGTCCATATTTAACCAAAAGTCAATTTTACATTGACGTTGTTGATTTGTTGACGAGATACATATTTTGTGACTCCATAGTAATATCTTCTAATGAGAATGTATTGATACTTAATCCAATTCCTTTGCACACCAAACTTTTCTACCAAAGTAAAAGTCCTAGATGTCTTACGAAATTGGTACTTTTATGCCCAAACAACGTCCAAAGCCCACAAGTAATTTGCTATCATCATTTTTCCTTGTTCTCCAAATCAGACAGTCATATTTTAGAAATTTTCCCTACCTAAAAACCATCCAATTACATCTCTCGGGTAACGTCTCAAAAGCCTCTGCAGACCAGGTTCCACAGCTTCCTGGGGAGAAACTACATTTCCCAGAAGCCAGTTCATCTGCGATCGCGTCCTTCCCGCAACAGGGGGCCTTGGGAAACCGAAGGACGCTGAGGCGAGCACCCCGGGCGAGAGGGCCCACCGACGAGTCTGCCGGACCCTGCTCCCGAAATGGCTCGGAGGCAGGACGAGGCGCGGGTGGGCGCACCCCTGAGGGCGGAAGGACGGCCGGACGCGGAGGTCAGGCTCATTCTGTACCACTGGACGCACTCCTTCAGCTCTCAAAAGGTACCGGCCAGGAGCCGAGGGCCGCGCTCGGCTTCAGCACCGGGACAGCTCCCTCGGGGTGGGGGCGGGCCTGCTGTGGCTTGGCCCCAGGGTGCCTTCACTGCTGGGGTGCACTGAGTGTGGAACCTGCAAAGGCAGGATGACTCGGAAGGCAGTGACGCAGGCACTGCCATTCAGGAAGCGACACTAAGAAGCATCACATTCAACATTTGGCCTAGAGGTTTTGCCCTCTCGAGTTCTGGGACCTGGGGTGTGGGGCAGGAAAAAGTGCCTTCCTGCAGCCCCTTGATCTGCTTTCCTCCTGTGAATAAATAACTATTGTATAAATAAATATATATGAAATATACATATGATATACACACGTACAGTTTTAAAAAATATTTATTTTTTTATTTCATGCACGTCCTTGTTTTGTCTGTGTGAAGATGTCTGATTCCCTGAAATTGGAGGTACAGGCAGTTATGAGTTGCCATGTAGGTCTTGGGAATTGAATCTGGGTCCTCTGGAAGAACATATAGTGCTCTTAACTACTGAGCCATCTCTCCAGCCTCGAAGGGCAACCGTGGCCAACCTGGAACTTGCTGTGTAGACCAAGCTGTCCTCGAATCTTCTGCAACCTTTTGGCAACCTTTTGTTGGGATTGCAGCCTTGGGTCACCACGCTAGTTCTTTGCTTAAAAAAAGTTAGGTATTTAGCTCAGATAGAATCCTTGCCTAGCAAGCTCATGGCCTTGGGTTTGGCAATCTCTAGCACCAGGAGAGGGAAAAAAGACAAAATCAAGTAAAGACACTACCCCACCTGGAGGGAAACAAATTGCTTTTATTTTCCCATGCCTGCATTCCTTGTCAAAGGTTCGAACATACATTTGTACTTAAGGTGGTTCTCTATGGGTTCACTTGAAGCTGGAGTTACAGGCATTTGCCAACCAGTCATTGCGAGTGCTGAGAATCAAGCTTGGTATATCTGCAAGAGCCGAACATTCCCTTAAGTGCTGAGCCATCCCTCCAGCCCTCTAGTTCAGGGTTTTTGTCTGGGGAGGACACATAGTTTGGTTCAGGGCACAGAGACCACCATGGTGAAGGGAAGGGAGTGGTTGTAATGAAGACAGGATAACTTTCCTTCCTCACCTTTTATAATCTATAGCAGTAAGCTGCCAGAATGCTGCTCACTTATTTCTTCTAGCAACAGCCATCATTAAATGAACAGTTAAAGTGCTGCTAGCTCAAGAAGCCAACTAAGGTGGTTTAGCTGAATCCAGAGAAGGCTTTTAACTGAGAACAGTAGTAACCTCTCTGAACTCTTCCAGGTGCGCTTGGTAATTGCTGAAAAGGCATTGAAGTGCGAGGAACATGATGTAAGTCTGCCCCTCAGTGAACACAATGAGCCTTGGTTTATGCGTTTGAACTCAACTGGAGAAGTGCCTGTCCTTATCCACGGGGAAAACATAATTTGTGAGGCCACTCAGATCATTGATTATCTTGAACAGACTTTCCTGGATGGTAATGTTAAGGCTATTTGTGATTTCTTGACTTTATTTTCAACATAAGCCCTTTCCCCAACCTTTCTCTTCCCCCTTCTCTTTCTCCCTCACCCTCTCTCTTTTATGGTGGTGGTTTAGTGATTTGAAAACCTTTTCCATTTCCATAAGCATACAAATATTCAGAAATTTCCAATAAGCCATTGCAAATGTTAATATCAAAACTTTCAAATTCGCTTCCAAGAAGCTGTAGGCATGTGGTTCTGGTGGTGGTAGTTTATTAGCCTCAAAGTATAGTAAAATTCGCCATGTTGATTCTTAATATATATTGTGCAAGTCGATTTCATCTTAAGAACAAGAGAAAAATGGCTAAATATTAGAGAAGGGGGATAGATTGTTACTATGGGTTCTTTGTTCTAGTTCTACATAGTTTGAATTTTTATCCTTTCTAAGGAATTATAGGGTTTACATATGTGTAATGTTGTTAATAATGACACTTATGGTTGCTTATGTGTCAGAAATTTTATATTTCAATTTTAGTCAGTTGTCAAGAGAGCTCCTAAGAATCAGGTGTGGAACTGGAAAAGTATAGAGACTAGCCATTCCCATTTTGCATGTGAAGAAAGAGCAATAGAGGGTTTGTCTAAGCTAATGTAACCATTTTATGGCAGGGTCTTTGGTCTTCAAAGCCCTCAGCCTGTATCATTTCCTGTTTCCTTTGCCATGCACAAAGAGTCCTGCTTTTTTCCAATGACAGCCCTTTCAGGTAGCATAGTGACAAGGTTAGGCTGACACAGCAGACATGGCTGGCCACTAGCAGAACTGAGAGCAAAGCCTAAGGCCTCAGGCTTTCACTTCAGTTCTCTACCAAAAGGCAATCTGCGGGTGACCCAGCTGCTTGCTTGCTGCTGTGCTGAGCTAACTGGGCATTAAAGTGAGCACATAACGCCAAATTAAGGAAGCCATGGAAGGAAATTAATGGACCAAAAAGTGTCTGAGGTATCTGGAAGGAAAATGGGTACTAGACTTAATGCGGGAAATACATTAGGAACTCATAATCTTACCTGAGTGGAGAAGTGCCATCATTCTTAATTTAAGTGTTAATTATCCAGAACTGTATCAGAGGTTTTAACTAAATGTAACCTTGACCTCAACCAAATGGTGTAAACAAGTATGTACCTTTCACCATTACTGGCTATCCATATGTGTTAGATGCTGGGGACTGCATTGAAAATGGAGAATAATTGATTTAAGAAACATTTTCTCAACCTTGAGCTTTATGGAAATGGATAAGACTATTAATGATTTGTTTTTCTTGAGAGAACTCATTAGAATAATAGGAACACAGCAAAAATAATTGTGTAAGAATTCTATTTTAAATGACCAAAACTTTAACTAGATATCTTATTTTTCATGTGTTATATACAATATATAACACCATGTATTGCATGTATTATATAACAATATAATATATGTCACATATATTATATAATACATGAGAAATAATATTTAGACCCTGCTTGAACTAATGCAACTTGTATCATTATTCTAGTTATTCCTTCACATTTACCTGTTCCCTTCCTTACCTCATATGAAACAATGCTTCATAGTAAATGTCCATTTTAGTTGATTTCTTAAAATTTTCCTTAGATTTTGCTTTTATTATGTAATGGTAAAGCTGAAATATGTTCTGGCTTTTGCTAAATTATATAAGTCACAGCCAAACAGCAGGGAATCAGGTTTTGTTTGTTTGTTTTTGAAGAGAATTTAAGCTCAGGTTGGTCTCAGATTTGCTATGTGGTAGTAACTATTTCTTTTGATAACTTGTTGTATAGACAAAGCACTGGCTGAATGATAGGTTGGAAATGTGGGAAGAAAGGACTTTAATTTTTGTTGAGCTTCTCTAGTGAGAAAGCCATTAATTGCTCTCACTACTGGCCTGATGCTGCTGTTAGCTTGTTGAGTATCATTTGTAACCACTGGATTAGGTGGTACAATTTTGTCATGTAAGATAAAACAAATACAACTGACTCATCATTTCTTCTTTCCCACGAAGAGTAGTTACATAATTGGAGAAGATTTAATAAGATTAAGACACCTAGAGTTCTGAGCAGATACGATGACAGCCAGACCAGTTTCCAGATCAAGATAGAATTTACCTCAGGATATGGAAATTTAGACAAACAACAAACATAAGCATTGCTACAATTACATTCCAGACAGTTAGTGTTTATCATTAGGAACTCAGGGGAATAGGAAAGAGCCATTCCATTTGTCAGTGAACAGGAAAGATGAACTTCCACACTTGTCAAAACCTGTTGCATCACCAGTAGTGCTGACATCAGATAGATTATTTGCAAAGCAGAGTTTTGAACTCATAGCAAAGCTAGCAAGTTAGAATCTTGTTTGACAAGAGCCCCAAGTGATTTACATGTGCATTAAAACTTTAGACTATTGTCATAAATTACTGGGTCATGCTCAGAGCAGTGCTGCAAATTGCTCTATCTGGCAAAGTTTTATAGTTGATTTCCAATTTATTTTTTTCCTTCTTTTCCAATTGGAGAACTACTCTCCTTGGAAAGATTAAAGAGTGAAATAAGAGATAGTCAGTGCTGTTTATCTCTGCAGGTGATAACATTGCTACAGTTTAAAAAAACTTTAAATTTTCATTTTTTATGTCTGTCAGTAAAGGAACTAACTTAGTTTTACATTGTTGGAGAATGCTATAAGTACCTTTAAAATGTGTCTAGTATGTGCAAGCCCTGCTTTGAAATATAATGCATGTTGATTCAAGTAGAGCATTTGAGATTATATCATGTTCATATGGAATAAAGACACAAATATGACTAGAGGATGGTAAGAAACCACATCTGTAGATGAATTAATTAACACACTTGTAAAGAGAAACCTTCCTGCCAGCCTGGTTCCAAAGCTGCATCAGTCCCAAATGAACACACAAGAGGCTATATTAATTATGAAGCTGTTGGCCTTGCTTGTTTCTTACTGGCTAGCTTTGACTTAAGTAATTACCCCATAATTGTTAATCTAAGTATGTCTCTTACTGGAGAAGTTTCCGGGCTTCCTACCCCATGGCGTTACATCTTGACTCTCTGTGTTTCTCCTACCCAGAGTCCTCCTCGACTCCTAGTCCCACCTATCTTGGTTCCCTATTGGCCAACAGTGCTTTATTGACATATACACAGGACTTCCCCATCACACACTGAAGAATACTAATGCATAGATTCATTACATCAGCTACGAACTCTTTTTTTGTTTTTGTTTTTGTTTTGTTTTGTTTTTTGGTTTTACGAGACAGGGTTTCTCTGTATTGTTTTGGAAGCTGTGGGTCCAGCCTGGCCTCGAACTCACAGAGATCCTCCTGCCTCTGCCTCCCGAGTGCTGGGATTAAAGGCATGTGCCACCACCGCCTGGCCAGCTACGAACTCTTACTTTACTTAGTAATATTTGGATTACTTTTAAATCATTGTAAGATCTGTGATGTCAGAGACTATCTTATTAAAAGTTGTGCCCTTGTGCTTCATGCAAGTAGGTACTCCATAATAGATATTGAATGGATAAAATGAATGAATTATTGAAATATCTGTTAGCCTGGATGGGACTTTCTCGTGGTATTTTATTGACTGATTGAAGTTCTAGGTATAACCCATGGCTTCACACATTCTAGGCAAGTTCACCAGCACTAAGCTATACTGACAGCCCCTGGTGGTGTTCTCTTAAGCATGTTTCCTGACTTGAACTTAATATACAAATGAATAAAGACATTAAAGAAATAGTATCATATTTATGAATTATGGAAAACCTAAAATCATTAAAATGATAGCTATCTTAATGAAATGCTTCTTGTAGAAGAATAAACCAGAAAACTAAGATGAAGTTTAGTAAGACTAATGTGACATGTCTTAAAAATTAGTTGCAATTAGAATGGGTGAGAGACCTGATGGCTAATCAGCTACCAGACTAGAGTGGTTTCACGTTGTTTTTAAAAAAGTATTGGTTCCATCCAGACTGCACAAACTGCAGTGCTCTGCATCTTAAGCTGGTCTTAATATTTGCTACTTTGTTTCTCCATAAATGGAATTTAGAGGAATAGAAGGATGATAATAAGTATGGTTTTATGAGGTGTATCATTTCCCATGGTTATAATAAGAGTCCTTTAAGCATAGTTATTTAGCTAAAAGTCAGACTGTTGTGAACTGATGTCTTTGCTGGCAGTTTCTATTCTTTGTTGGCCAGTCATTGAGGATTGTGCTAAAAGTAGTGTGCATCCATACTCATATATTTGCTTCCTGGGCCTTTTGGATATCTGTTAAATAATTGGTAGTTGTATAGAAGAAATTTGAATCAGGACACTTTTTAAAAGTCTTAACCTAAAATAGTGGTTATCTAAGTTGGATGATAGCTGGATCTTATGATTATTACTGTTGTTACTTTTGAAAGCAGGTTCATGGAGATATGAGTGATATTCCCAAGTGCAAGACTTTGGTTAAGCAGGAATTTAGAAGTTCTCAGTAATAACTGCTCATCTGAGGGCTGATTAAGAGTGCTCTCTGCATCCGTTCTCTCAGGACCATTAGCAGCTGGCATTAATTAGGTGCAAGCTCTTGGGATATGCAGAGATAGTTCAAAGACCTCAAATCATTAGAAACTTGCTATTACTGTTCAAAGGTATTTCCTACCTATCAGTTTGACAAGACTCTGTCCTTAACATCTGCATATGCTATTACTATTTAGTTTTGTAGAATGTTTTGTGCCCATGATGCATTTTCAAACTGGAATATAATGAAGAAAATTATATTAAAGGGACACATTCATTAATCTAGGTGAGATATGACAGTGAACAAATACAGAAATGGGGGAATAGGACAAGGTGAATAAACACACTAATGCTGATGTTTAACTAGAACTACTTCTTCTCATATCCTAAATTTTTCAGTAAAATTAAATTTAGTTAGTCTACTAAGTAAAAAACAAACAAATAAACAAACAACAAAATGTCATTAAATAAGTAGAAAATACTGGAATATATTATATTCATTATTGCCAAATATCTCAGTGGTAACCCAGAATCCTAAGTGTTATATGGTGTTTTTTATAATTTGATATACAACAGTTCCTTGAAAATCATGTGTGATGTCTTATGTCTATCATTTTAAATATTGTTAAAAAGTAGGATTTGGTTGGAAATAAATTATTCTGGTATAATAAAATAATAGAGAAATATGATTGTGAAATATAAATTCAGTTTTAGACACAATTTTGTCATTACACATTGCAATGTAAGCATAACATTGAAAGAATATCAATTTGAAATCATCATTTTATTCTATTTAAAGCATTTTATAGATGTATTTATTTTACTTTATATATGTATTTTATATGTTTGAGTGTTTAGATACTTGGGATTAATCCAGGGCCAGGTAAATGACTTAGCATATTATATTCTTACAGAACCATTCCTCCAGCTCCTACTTACTATTCTTCAAGTCACTAAGCCTGGCTTGAATTATTGTAACCTTCATTCCAATGTTGTACCTCCTTTCATCATCTGCTTTCAAAACCTCCCCTGACTTCCTTTCCTGACCCATGTGCTTTATATTCCTGTCTGAGGTAGAATCCCAAGAAAAAGCATTTTTTAAAATATCCTTCTCATGACACCCTATGGAAGAGTTAGAAAGTAAAGTAAGATGAGGTTGAGATGGGGGATGTGTGTAATTCAGGAGAAAAACAATTGCCTTGTGTTTGTCTGAGTATTCACTACGTAGGCCACTCTGGCCTAGAACTCACGAGCCTCCTGGATTAGCCTTCTAAGTGTTAGGAGTGCAGGCATGGGCTACTCGCTAAACTTGATTGTCTTTTGAAAAAGTTTCTGGAGACGGTGAATGCTACGCGCTTTGGTGTGGAAGGAGGTGGCCTTTGTGACACTGGTTGGGGCACCATGAAGTGCTTAGGGAAAGGGATCTGGGAAGAGGACATGGGTGCAGTGGGCATCTTGTATTGTGCTTGACAAAGAGCTTCAGCAGATGGTGGATACCTGTGAGGCTCTCAATAGAAGAACAATATGTTGATGGCTGCAAGCATTTGTTCTCCTTTGAAAAGTCAGGCTGAGCCAGAAGTATCATTCCCAGAAAACAATTTAATATTACTATTCTTCCTCTTGTTCACCTTTCTGGGAAGGAAGTGCTATGTTCTTTTGGAGAAAGTTCCAGGGCCTGGCACTGGAAAGCTGCCTGACCCAGCAGCCAGGAGCCATAAACTTGTCTTTGGAAAGCATTCAAAAATGTACTGTTTACAGTTATTAACCTGAGGCTCCTGGACTGCGAAGGCAGTGAGTGTTTCTTCAGGTTTCTGGATGCCTTTGTCTTAAAAATTATTGAGGATACTTGAGAACTTTATGTAGGTCAATATTTACTATTGAGACGTGAACCAGAAAAGTATAAAGACCTAGAACATTCAAGTGTCAGGAGTGTCACCATTCCATTAGCTGTCAATGTGACAGAGCCAGTGTGTTTTATATGGCCTCTGGAAGGCTCTGTTGTAACTGGAGAGGTAACAATAGTGAAAAGCCATTAGTATCATGGTGTTGCTGTAAACAGTTTGGGATTAGTGCATCCCCTAAAGTGTCTTTGGGAAGCCTGTAGATCCTCAGTTCACACATTGAAAACTAAGTCTTTGAACTCATGAGTAGAAGGGGAATTGAAATCTTACATGGGTGTAAAACATGTCTTTAATTTTGCTTACTTAAGTCTGTCATTCTTTTATTGCCAATGCATACAATACAAAACAGTCAGGAATGCAGTGACTTTGTTACCAATGGAAATCACAGGTATGTCCCTAGCCTTTTAAATTATTACATATATCTTGATACTTTTAAATTAGGGAAGTTATCAGAACCTATGCTGGATATTAATAATGCACTAAAGAGTATATATGTTAGTGTTTTATACATTAGTGTTTTTGTCTTGTAATTCTTGCATCTAAGGACTTTTTTTGAGAGAAGGGCAGTGGCACATGCGAGGGTGAGAGTGTCTCAGCATTTCAGGCCTTCTGGTTTGTTGTCCTCATGGAAGTGGAGAACTGGTGACATTCCTGAGAAGTCTGCTTATGGAGCTAATGAAGGCACGTAGTGTCGAGAGGCTGGATGTGGACGAGGCTGCTTTCCTGTCTTGTTTTCACATGGCTTCCGTAATGAAGTGTGTGGTTGTCTGATCTGTGGTGGGGACTGTGCTTCTTGGTCATTATTTTAGGGCAGCCTTCTGCGTTGTGCTGTCTAGCTGGGAATAAGGCATTTGCCTACTGGTTTGAGGAATTATCCACACTTTTCTTTTTAGAGAGTCAGAAATTGCTCTCTGGCTTAAAAAGCTTGTTTGTGTTCTGGCATTAGGAAATCTTGCTTGACATGTTCTGGTAATGGTAACACTCTGAACTTTCAATGTTTATGAATGATTATAGGATGCACAGGGCACTGTGAATTATAAAGAACCCAAGCCAAGAAATGAGTGAATAAAGAATATGCAGGCTCTCCCTTGCACTAGTGGTAATAAGCTCATTGGTATTTTCAGAACAGTTTGAGAGGCAGATTAGGAAATTAATCTGAAGGGACTTAGTTCTGACCTTTGGGTATCATTCTTCGCTCTTTTCTTTGTGGCTACTCTTTGAAATATAAATTCTTAGAAGACTTGACGATGCAATAAGCAGAGCGTTTTATTAGTGGTCAGGTGACATTGCTTTTGTTTTGCCATTAATAGCTGGGCTGACTTTCCAGTATCCATATCCTAGTGTCTGTGTTACCTACTGCAGACCTTCCCCAATGTGAGTATTCTAGAGTAAATGGGAACTTGGGGTATGACAAGTTACTATAAGTAACCATGTACTGACCGTGTGTCAAATATTTATTAGGCTTGAGAAGATTGTCAGAGAATGACATGCGCTCCCTGATTGTAAGGGGTTTAGTGTATATCTTCACCAGAAAGTGAAGATAGGCAGAATGCATTTGCCGGGAATAAATTGCTAACAATGTAGGGAAAGTAACACTGGGGTTTTGAGAAAAAGTCTTTCCTATTTTGTATAGATTGTTATTTCATGGTCACTTAGTATCAATGGGGCCCCTCTTGGTGTTAGTTGACACATAGAAAAGAGTGATCCTTGATTACCTTCTTGTAATAAACAAGAATTCCCCTATAATTTGCTGAAGTCTTAAGCTGTACAAGTTTACACCATAGTTCCTTGTCCCAAATATATTCACGAGGTGAAAATATACAACTATGTACAAAGTGGTGAGGGCTATTACATTCCGTGTTTTATGGAATGTAGATAGAGGCACTAATGAGCCAGTTGGGTGTCGTAGGTGAGGGCATGGCTCGTGAGGAAGCATGGGCTTGAGGGTTGAGCAGCAATTTACAAGGTGGAGAAAGGGGACACTAGCAGGTCATGGTTTGGAATCTGATCTGGTGCATCAGGCTACTTCAGATGTTGAATATCTGGGCTGGAAAGACTTCATTTTGTGAATGTGCAATTACAGTGAAATGTTAATGATGAGGCCTTACGGTTTTTGCTTTTGGATGTAATGTTTTATTTGTAGTTTTTCCACCAATGTATTTATATTTTCTATGTGTATTTTAGAAAGAACACCCAGGCTAATGCCTGATAAAGAGAGCATGTATTACCCACGGGTGCAGCATTACCGAGAGCTTCTCGACTCCTTGCCGATGGATGCTTATACACATGGATGCATTTTACATCCTGAACTCACTGTGGATTCCATGATCCCTGCTTATGCAACCACAAGGATTCGCAGTATGTAAAAGTCTTAAAAGCTGGGGATTGATTCTGCCCGAAGCTTCTTATCATTTTGAGACTTGACATATCTTCTCGTCACAGAGAAGATTGGAAAATGGGACTGTTGAGTTTGTTTCATGGGTGTGCAGGAATGTGTATCAATTCACTAACCTGCCAGGTTAATCTGTTCCTTGGCCATTCTCATTAGATTTGTAGTATCTATTAGGCCTAATTTGTCAGCATTTGGTTTTTGAAGCCAGCCTTAGTAAAAACTTAGAAAGTGACTGATAGAAAGGTAGAGAATGTTCTCAAACAGATTAACTTGGAGTCAGAATAGCTGGCACCTTCATGGGTGTATGGGCAACTGGCTTCACATTTCTGAACCTTAACTGTTGTTTTATGATGGGAGGAAGCTGGTTTAGAGTATGTCTAGCTATCACCTCTGTACTCAGTGACTGGAGATTTTCTGAGATTGAGAAATTCTTCCTACTTCCTGTCGGGAGGAGCTGTAGGGTCAGTGTGAAAGGTGGAGCAGGAGAAAGTGTGTTCTGCAGTATACTTGGCTATGGTTAGTAAGGACAGAGGTGGTACTGGTTACACTTGCAACTGTTTGGAGACCCTGAATCCCGCGTCTTCTAAACCCAGAAGCTCCGGTTTTCTCTTACATGGTGTCTCAGCCTTGTTGTCTCATTACTTTTTCTTTCTTTTTCATCTTTTCTTTTCCCATCTTTCCTTTCCTTTGCCTTCTTCCCTCACTTCTCCCCTCTCCTATGCCCTCCCCTCACTTCTCCCCTGCCCTCTCCTGTCTCCCCTTGCATTCTTCTTCCTTTTCTTCCTAAGTATTTATAATGTGATTTGAAACACAACATCTGACTACAACTGTACCACCTATAGTTGACATTATTTTCAAAACAAGGCTTTCCCTTCCTTTTACGAGAGGAAGTGGAGGAGCTGTGGAGAGGGGAAGCAGTCCTGGAGCATAAAGCACAAAGGTGTCAAGATGTCAAGCTTGCTGTAGCTGCCCACAGAAGTCTCTCAGTAAGTCTCTCAGACTGTATGACAGGCGTTTTCTAGCTGTTTTAAATGGGAAAACATAGGTAGACAAACTGTGTCCAAGACAGAAACAGGCTACCAGTCACAAAGCTCATACTCTCATCAAGGTGTGTCCCTACTTCTCCCTATGCCTGTGACATGGAGGGGGGGAATATTTTTCCATTTCAAAAGTGTTTTTATTATCAGGTCAGATTGGTAATACAGAGTCTGAACTGAAGAAACTTGCTGAAGAAAACCCTGACTTACAAGAGGCATACATTGCCAAACAGAAGCGACTTAAGGTAAGTGACAGGGCTGGTTATACTTCATACCACTGCCTTCTTTCTGGAAAAGAAGAATGCTGTTTCTAGAATATCTTTTGCTACTGCAGATCATTGGTGCATATGATATCTGTGACCTGTGTTCTGCTTTTAGAGAGACTTCTGAATCCATTGTAGCAGCATATGAGCCCAGAGGATTACTGAGTTCCAGGCCAGTCTGGGCTACAAAGTGAGATACTGTCTCAAGTTCAAATACTCCCATATAAAAACAAACTCCCAAGCACACCCCCTAAGAAAAAGAAAAAAGTTTTTTATTATATACTTGATAGTCTGAACCAGGGATAATTATTATCAACAGATAATGATCATGCTGGTTGCCATGGAAGGTGACAAATGTAAGTTCTAGTTAATATAATAGAGGAATCTCTCATAGCAGGTAGCCAGCCACTTTAAGGCCTCCATGTGTTAGCTGATTTGCTCTGACCATCATATGGGGCATCAGTAATAGCCTCTCATTTTCCATTGGTTCTTTGTCCATGCCCAGACAACGCACGGAAGCTTTCCCCTTATCTCACATGGAGTAAATGGCACTTCCAACTCTCCCTCAACTTCCTACCTTCCTTTATCCTATCTTAGCTGAACGGGCTCAGAGTACATGCTTCCATAGTTGCTTTCCTTGCATTTAGACTTCTCTTACACACCTCTTTTCCCTTTTGGTATGTGCATGTATGTGTGTGTGTGCATCTGCACATGTTTCTGCATGTGTATGCCGGAGGGTAGCATTAGGATCCTCTCCCCCGTATTTTGAGACAAGGTCTCCTACCGGCTTGGGACTCACTGATTTTGCTAGGAAAGCTGGACAGTGAGGTCCAGGGATCTGTCTGTATCTACCTTCCCAAGATGGGGTTACAAATGTGTGCCATCACTCGTAGCTTTTAAAAAAGATTCTGGAACTTGAACTCTGGTCATCATGCTTTCAGGACAAGCATTTTACAGACTGAGTTATCTCCCTCCAATAGACCTTCTGCTTTTTCTCGACCATTTCATTAGTCCTCTGAGACTTATCAACTTCTGTTCTCAAGTGAGTGCTAGAAGAGAATCTTTGTTTCTCACGTTGCTTGTCCTCACTGGTTAACTGGGCCTCTTAGGAGTTGCCAGTAAGTACTGGGTCTGCTCCCGAGATGATCTCAGCTGGAATAGCTCCTCATCTTGTTGTGGTTTTATAAAATTATTCTGTATCTCCTCATTGTCTAAAGTGAACAGGTGTGTGTGTGTGTGTGTGTGTGTGTGTGTGTGTGTATAAATCTACTTTGTGCTATATAGTTTTGTTGTTGGTAGAAAGCATAAATAGTCTTTTTTTGGTTGTTAATTAGTCAAAGCTGCTTGATCATGACAATGTCAAATACTTGAAGAAAATTCTTGATGAGTTGGAGAAAGTCTTGGATCAGGTGGAAACTGAATTACAAAGAAGAAATGAAGAAACTCCAGGTAGGTTCTCATTCACTTTCTTTTTTACTGAAACAATAGGGGCTTTTGTAGGAACATTTCTTAGATCTTACTAAACATGTTCTGTAGTCTGTTTCTGTGGTTTGCTATTCACAAGCAAGTTTAAATATGTTATTTCACTCAGAACTCTAGTGTCTAGTTGTAATCCAGTTGTATCAATGAGAAATATGACCCTGGGAAGGTTTCTGCACATTTTAAAGGATAATGGAAAGATGCCTATTTACCCAGCTCCACAAATCAGCAATTATTAGTGATCTGGTTGGATGACCTGAACAATTGCTGTATGCCCACTCTGGATTTTTCTTCAGCAGCCAGCCATTTTCCATGGCTGGCTATTTGTACATCTTAACTGAAGATACTGAAGATAGTTGAAGATACTGTTACCTGAAATGTCTTTCACAACAGGGAAACAGTTGTGTTTGATGGCTCTTCACCTGCCATCCCAGTACTTCTAAGGCTGAGGCAGAGCATTGCCAGAAGTTGAAGGCCTTCAAGGGCTAGATAGTAAGCCCTTATCTCAAAAAAAAAAAAAAAAAAAGAAAAAGAAAAAGAAAAAGAAAGAGTGACTCTCCGCTACTTTAAGGAGACATTAACTATCCTTTTGTTCGCACAAGAGTTGATTGGTTTCCGGAGCCTCTGTGTATACCATAGCCCTTGGATGGTCAGGTCCTTTATGTAAAATGATTTGGTATCTGCATGTCCTCCTCTATACTTGAAGTTATTCTTGATTACTTTGATATATGGTATAATGTGAAGGACATGCAAATAGCTTTTATACTGTGTTGTATAAGGGATAATAACAAGAAACAAAGTCAGTACTTGCTCAGTAAGAATGAAGTGTTCTTTCTTCAGTATTTGACCCTGTGGATACAGTTATTGGCATGAAGGTGCCCTGTAGACAAGAGTAGTGGCCTCTTAGTGATGTTTCAAACATAACTTTTATGAATCCTTCTAAAGCACTTTGGTTGATTTCCTAAACCAGAAGGAAGTATCTGTCTCAATTCCTCTGGATTGTAGGCACTTGCTTTCTGAGCCCTTTACAAAACGATATAAGAGTGCTAGAGCTCTAGTAGTTTCAAGTTTACTGAGGGACTTTTGTGGCTGACAGATGTCAAACAAGTCTTTGTTAGTTTAGTTTGGGATAAATTCACATGACTATGATGGTCAAGACAACATGTGGTCATCTTTCCCCTTAGAGCCAAAACTGCAAATGGGAGCTGAGGTCTGTCTGTGTGGTGCTTGTCCCTAATTCTTAATTCCCTTTCTCTGACTAGAAGAGGGCCACCAGCCTTGGCTCTGTGGAGAATTCTTTACCCTGGCAGATGTCTCGCTGGCTGTCACATTGCATCGACTGAAGTTCTTGGGGTTTGCAAGAAGAAACTGGGGAAATGGAAAGAGACCCAACTTGGAAACCTATTATGAGCGTGTCTTGAAAAGAAAAACATTTAACAAGGTTTTAGGACATGTCAACAATATATTAATCTCTGCCGTGCTGCCAACAGCATTCCGGGTGGCCAAAAAACGGGCCCCAAAAGTTCTTGGCACTACCCTTGTGGTTGGTTTGCTTGCGGGAATGGGATATTTTGCATTTATGCTTTTCAGAAGGAGATTTGGCAGCATGATATTAGCACTTAGACCCAGACCAAATTATTTCTAGGTTTGTTGGGCTCTGTGGGAGCAACTCGTCCAACCATTCCACTAGACCCTGTCCACTCTTCCAGACCAGAGAAGATTTATCCTGGGCAACTAGTAGAAAGCATACTTTACATTATTCTTTGGGAAGTTCAAGTGGGGAATGGAGCTAATGACACGGCTTGTTCTCTCTCTCTCTGTCCCTTCCTTTTTTCTTCTTTTTCTTTTCAGATGAGATGATCTACTACTAATCTATCCCTAAAGCAAGCATGTGAAAGGTCAAGATCTGTAAATGCTGATAGATGGGGAGCAGACCTTTAATGGAGATTGTCAGTTCATGTTCCCAGTTACTTTCTGAATGTTTGTAATTAAGAGCAGACAATAACTATAACCAATGACTATTCATAGTGCTTCACCTGAGATTGACTACTGTTTTGAGATTTAAGCAGTTACAAGATCCTCCCTTGGAACTCAAAAGTCGTCTTTGTTGCACTAGACAGGGTTCAGAGAGCAACAGGACATACTGCCAGCTTCTGGCATAAATTAGGGAGAGTATGGGAAAGGGAAGGAAGAAAACAAGAGAATGAAGTACATCTAGATCTCCTTGGTAAATTTCACATAGAACTTCTTGTGTTCATGTCCCCTCCTTAATTAAGACTCTTAGGAGGAGAGGGCTGAGAAGTTATTGGGGATAGTATACTGGGGAGAACCTTATATATTACATGCTAAACACCTCATTTGACCTTAATTATGAGCCACACAGGTTGATTTGGTAAGATTCAGTAATTATGCTCTTGACCATGGTATGCCCATTAAAACATATATGCCTAGCAGATATATGAATATCTAAAGGGATAGTAAGGTGGTCCTCATGGCTCCCTTGACCTTGTGAGACATGGTCCTATGAACCCTGAAGTTCAGTCCTGGGAGCCTTATTTTGACAGCCCTCTTTATGCATGTAAGTAATATGTAGATGAATGTCTCAGGTAAATATCATGGCTAATCACTGGCAGTGGATAATTTGATGAAAACCAAATATCTCTGTTCTTATTTGGGATGCACAAATTTTTGGCCAGACTTTGTGTTTTTTCTCTTTTCTTTTTTTAAAATGATTATCAATAAAGCCTTAAAGAAAAAGAGGAAAGTCTAACATTAGATGTTGACAGTTAATTTGGGGGAGATAAAATATATAGCTAGTGATGCCCATTCATATTCACCCATGTATGCTCAAGTATTTAGGGGGTATCTCAGTTTCATATGGAAAACAGGTCTAGTATGACATAGGAGCAACCATGGTACTATAAGGCATGGTTTGTGCTCAGGAAAAACCTCCTATTGAAACAAGGAGGCAGTCTGTGTGGAGTGGCTGTCAAGGCTTTAGGATTAGGTTCAGGAGTTCGATGGGAGGCTTGTGCAGAGACAGTGAACCTGGATTCTAGTGAGGCCTGTTTGGGTGGCCTCAGGTAGGCTATGCAGACGGCCAAAGAATGTGCTTATTTTCATTAATAAAAAATGCTCTGACTAGCAAACAATGACTTTCTGATGGTGAAAACAATTCTGTAATTCCATTTTGATTCTATAATTCCCTTTCATAATCTAGATGTACTAGAAGATAGGAAAACCTCATGAACTGGGTGTGCCCTGTTTAGAAAAAGCATTACTAACACTCCACTGTTAACTCAATGATAATGAATATACTACTACTAACACTCCCCTGTTAACTCAATGATAATGAATATACTTGCAGCTTTTAATGCTGTTTTAATTTGCCCATCGGGTGCCATACAGTGTCTCACTGAATTTGTTTATTGCTGTGACATTGATGTCATTGTATTCATGAAAGAGAAATAGGATAGATTAACTAGTAATCCAGAATTCCCTGTTACTCTGCTAGAAATAAAAAGTGAGGCACAAGGAAGTACCAATGGGAATTTTGTCAAAAAATCCACAAAGGGTATTTACCTGTGAAAGGATTGTTAAAGACTGAATTTTCTTTTAATTATGTTATTACGGAACTAGGAAATCACTGGGACATGTCTATAATTTTCTTATGCAATTTATCTAGAGGCAAATGGTAAGGATGAACATTTATCTAGCGATAGCACAGTGACCACTAGATGTCGCTGTGCACCCACTAGTCTAAGACTTTGTTCCATTAGACTCAGCGTGTCTGTAAGGTTTCAAGTGAAGATAAACGTTAATGACCTTAGTTTCTGAAGTGAGGGCATCTTCATCAAGATTATTCATCTGTGAAAAAGCTTGAGGCAAATGTAGTATTGATTTCTTATGCTTTGTGAGTGATGACAGCACCGTATGATGTCAAACTAAGGAGGTGCACAGCCACTGTTAGCCAGAGAGACACTTTAATGCATCTTCCTTTTCAGGATCATTGGTAACTGGCCAATGTGCTTCTCATGTAAAAAAAATAAAAATAAACAAAAAAGAAAAACAAAACAAACAAACAAAAAAAGAAACCCAGCATAAATACCACACTAGAAAAATGCCCGAGGCACTAAAAAGTTATGTTATCTATTTCTGTAACACACATGCATATTACTTTATTGTTAATGCCATTATATGCCTTTTGATTCTCAAAACTTGTGAACTGCTTGCTCAAGTTTTAGTAGTTTTTGCTATTGATGTTCAAGTTGTAGATGGTGTTGTTGACTGTCTTGGGAAAAATCAAGATATTATTTCTTCTGTAAGATCAATAAAATAATTTAAAAATAAATGTTTTCTGGGACACAAACTAATAAAAAATCTTTTATAAGGCATATTTTCACTTAAAACGAAAGCATCTGGACTCTGGTGGAGTACTTGTCAATGTGCAGAAGACTTGGGTTCAGTCTCAACACTGAAAAAGTAATAAAACAAAAAACTATTAGAGGCTATTAGAGGAAAATAAGCAGTGCAGTTTTGAAGACATACAGTTATGCCATGCTTTTCTTCTAAGTCACCAAGGCCATTTAAATACAGAGATTATGGCTGACCTGAGTAGCAACCTGAATAACGTTGGTCTTGGTTATTAAAATAGGTCTTTTACAGTTGGGCACTTAGATCACATCTGTGAAGAACATGGAGTGTTTAGTAGGTTTCGTGTATTGCTCTCAGAACCATTTATGTTTTTCACACAGCTACTTCTCTTCCTTTAATTGGGTATAGATTGTGAATGTACAAACTAGCACCTGCATTTCTAACCTCAGTAAGCCTAGGTATAGTTCTAAACATCAACTAGAAATTGAGTAATATTTTAATATTACCCTGACCCAAGCAAATTAATCAGAAGTCTCATTGTCCTCATTTTCCTTGAGTTCACAAACAAAGCAAAAGTCAATACCCACGGAAAGCCAAGTGAATGTGTAATTCATCTCAGAAAAGAAAAAGGCAGCTACCATAAAAACAAAACAGACTAATAGTTAATACAATAGAAATAGTGTTTAGAACACTAAGCTGAACTCAAGGAACCCAGTGACAGAGAGGGAGGACTGCTGACCATAGGGGTCAAGACTGGGCTTGTTTAACCCACAGAAACATCTGACCTGAACAAGAGGGATGGCTGGGAATCCAGCATGGGACTGATCAAGACCCCCTGAATGTGGGTGGCAGTGAGGAGGCCTAGGCAACCTATGGGGCCTTGGGTAGTAGATCAGTATTTATCCCTGGCATACAAATGAACTTTGGGTGCCCATCTCACAATGAAAGATGCTCTCTCAGCCTGTACTCTTCGGGTCCTGTCCTTGATGAAATGACAGACTATGGACAACCCCCATGGAGGGTCTCACCCTCCCTGGGGAAAGGAGTGGGAATTGGGGGAGAGTGATGGGGGTATTGGTGGGAGGGTGTGGAAGGAGGGGAGGGAGAGGTAGTTGGGATTGGAGCAATCTTGTTCTAATTTAAATTTAAAAAGAAAAAAGAAAACAACCCCCCCAAAACCAAAAGCAATAAACAGGAAATATATATAAGAAATAGTGTTTAGAGTTGACTTGCATATTATTTTTATCAAGTGTTGGCTAATTTTTTATTATCGGCACTAGCATCAGAATATCTTGCTTCCAAAATGCTTCCAAACAGTAGTTTTAGTAGGTAAGGTAGTGGACGGTAAAGCTATTGAGTACATTGAATAGTTTGATTCAATTATTTGTTACATTATGAAAATGAGACAGACAGAGAAGAGGAACTCACTGGAGGGTTAGGAAGGCAGCACACCCAGAACAGCTGTCTCCTTTGTCATCGACATGGGCAGAAACATGATTCTGAGGATGAAGAACGGAAGAACAGGTGAGAGGGCGGAGGGAGTGGAGGAGAGCAGACTCTCTGGTAAGAGATGGCAAAGCTGTGTGGGTCTTGAGACAAAATACTTAGTGATGGGCAGCGATCAGCTCCCGTGCAAGTAGAGAGAAGTTATCTCATTCACAGGTGCCTTGTCAGAAACCACCCCAGGGGAGCGTGCATGTGTTTTGTCTTTAGCCTTTACTCATCCCTTAAACATCAGCTCCTCACAGCATTATAGTGTTCTCAAACTTGCAGTGCCAGAAGCCAGGAGTATGAGTGAAAATGTGGAGTTGTAAGTGAAATGTAATGTAAACTGATTGGTTTTCATGCTTCAGTCCCCAACCAAGTCATTTTGGGGGGATGTGGCTATTGGGTGTTTGTATAGTTTTTTTTATACATGAGATTAAACTACATTTTGAATATAAGAATTTGATAGTCAATAAAGTTACCCATACAGTCATTAAACACTGCTATGCTAATAAGCATATGACATTTACAAACATTCTGTCTGCATTTGTTGATTTTAGTTCATGAAACATTTCTAGTAAGATGGCTAAAAGCTGCATTGTACAAATGGTGCAGAGTCCATCCTCTTTGACATGCTTCTCCATCGTTGTAAAACTAGTCCCTAAGTCTGTCCTTGTTGACATACTTGCACCGGCAATGCTACCTTCCAAACTTGCCCAACAGTTTCACCAGTGGGGACTGAATACTTAGATACCTGAGAATTCAGGGGACATCTCCCTTAGACCAGCCCATGGGTTGAATTGAAGCCTTCTTGCTCACCAGCCAAGCACTCTATTGACTGGACTATACTCCAGCTTATCCTACACTCCCTATTTCCCATATTCCTTATAATTTATTCCTCTCTCAGGATCGATTTTCTACTTCTGCAACCTACAATTGCATATATAAAAATCACACCCCCCAATTTTTAATTTAGGTTAATTAAATGTGACTTATTTAACAATTTTCAATTGTATCCATTAAGAAGTTTAATTCATAGTCACATTTTTTCTGCAAAGACTCAAAGCACAGATATAGTCATTGATAATTTCTCAATATAGGAAAGCTCTACACACAATTTTCAGAAAACAGAGTGGAATGCCTCCAAAATTATCTTTTAGACATCAATCAATAATCAAGAAAATGTCCTATAGGCTTGCCTATAGCCATGTCTTATGGAGGCATTTTCTTAATTAAGGTCCCCTTCTCCCAGGTGACTTTAGCTTGTGTCAGGTTAACATAAAGCCATTTAGCATATCCAACAAACTCTCTCCCTTCAGGAAGGATGACATGTCACTTGCTTTCTTGGGTCCCAAGCAATATCTGTAGAGAAAGGGCTGAAAAATTCAGTGGTGTCTATTCTGTTAGGCCAGGGTTAACAATGGAATGCACTGTCATCAAACTAGTACTGTTGTGACTATGGACACCCCCATGGAGGGCCTCACCCTCCCTGGGGAAATGAGGGGGTATTGGGGGGTTGGTGGGAGGGCGTGGGAGGAGGGGAGGGAAAGTGAGAGGGACCTGGAATTGACATGTGAAGCAACCTTGTTTCTAATTTAAATTTAAAAATAAAAAATATCAAAAAACCTAGTACTGTTGTTATCATGTATCATTTCCTGTAGAGCTGGACTCTGTTAGGCCAGATGGCATCTTTTAACTGTTTGAGGAAAGCTATAGATAATTAATAACCCGAAAAGAATTGCTAGGGGCTTAATCAAAAGTTTAACAGCTAATATATCATGCCATGTGTTTTGTGTGAGCAGTGTACTGGCAGTCTGTCAGGGTGTCTCTTGTAAACATGGACAAGGAAAACCCCCAAAGTCACAGCCTACGAGGAAAAATGATAGCTATTATAATGGGAAATTATGATCCTTCTACTTCATCTCTAGATTCAACACATTTTGAGACCAAGATTAAGTTACCTGAAGGAAGACTGTTTTCTTTAGAAGAATACAAACAAAATCAAAACCCTCAACAAAACCAACAGTCTCATTGCAGTGTCAACACAAGGGTCTGTGATACATATCTTCTTTTTTTTCCAATGGTAGCATGGATAGGTCTACCCCTTACTTTACAATACTTGAGGTAAATATACAAATGGAAGCCCTGGCCTGTAGCTACCCTCCTTTATCACATGAGGGCCTCAAAACTCCTATGTATACACCTCAATCTGCCAGTCCAAACTCAAAACACCTTGGAATATCCAACTTACTCTTGGATGCTTTTGGATTTTTAGGCATGCACACTAGCAGCGTGCTCCACTCCAGTATGCCAGGAAAGACTGGACAGAATCATATAGATTCTAGAACTGCGCTCAGTGTTAACAGTGCAGGGAAATGCATACTCCTGCTACTTGGGTTATGGATTTGAAATGGTAGCTCCAGCCCATCCATGTCCCCTTAGTTCTAATGCCATGCAGAGAGGTTGTGATCAGAAACCAGAGCAAGGTATCATTAAGTTGAGGTTTCAAAGGGGTCTACGACAAGGGCAACCATTTGTCTCCCAGGGCAATAGTGTACAATGAGAAAAGATTACTGATCAGAATTTTTGAGAAACAAAAGTCCTCATCTCATGGCTTGTGGTATAAGGGCCATTGTGTTATGGATGGCCAAGTAGAAGACACGAAAATGACTGAGGTGTCCTCAGTCTCACAGGCCAAATGGTAAATCAGAAACCATTTGCATCCTCATAGGAGTTTGAAAGATTAGTGTTCTCAGAAACATAATACAGAGGTCACAGTTCCCTGTTCACATTACCTGTTGGGACTTGGTGAAACCTAGTCATTTGTTTAGACACTAACTGCATTATTTTGCTAAATTTAACCATGCCTCAGATCTAATTGTATCTGCTATGCAAGTTAGTGTGATTTCTCATTGTTGCTACCAAATACCTGACAAAAAGCAACTCATGGAAAGGAAATACTGATTTTGCTTTATGATTTACAGGTACAGTCTGGCCAGGGAGATGGCTCAGTGCACAAAGGCACCTGCTTCCAAGTCTTATGACTTGAGTTCAATCCCTGCTTCTCACCTACCTTCAAATACAAAATAAATAAATGCATTTAAAAAATGTACATTTGTGATGGTGGAGAGGCCCTAGGTCTCCCTTCATATTTACAGGTCTTGAAACTGGTGCCACTAATCAGGCCTTCTTCTTTTCCCCTTTTTACTCAGTTCAGATGGCTGGCCCATGCAACACTGCCACCCACAATAGGGTGAGTCTCTCATCCTCCTCATCCTCAGTTAAACCTCTTTTTTTTTTTGAGACAGGGTTTCTCTGTATTGTTTTGGAGGCTGTCCTGGAACTTGCTCTGTAGACAAGCTGGCCTCGAACTCACATAGATCCGCCTGCCTCTGCCTCCCAAGTGCTGAGATTAAAGGCGTACACCACCACCACCCAGGTTATGATGGTGATTCTTGATTTTTAATATGATTAGGATAAGAAACACCTAGG